CAGAAAACCTTCTAAAAAAATCACAAGTAATGCCGCATTTCTGTCCCATTGCAACCCGGCCGATTCATCACTCATAAAGTCAGAAGTATAGAGTTGGTGTCACGCTTTTTCTTATAGAAACTTGACTATGTTCTGTGAACCAAACATATATGTCCATACACGACCTAGGAAAGAATCATTAAAAAACTACGAGAATTTACCCTAAATAGGACTAAAAACGTTTCTAAATTTCAAAATGGGACTGTCATGTTTTTTAATTCCCAAAATGAGACTAATTACTGTCATGTTTTGGCAGTACCAGACTTTAAATATGACAATATTTTCCAAACTTGACAGTAATTACTCCTATTTTGGGAATAAAAACATGACAGTCCTATATTAGAATTTTCAAACGTTTTTTGTCCCATTTCGGGAACTTTCCCAAAAACTACTAGCATAACAATAACCGAGAGACTATGGATGTTTTCTTTTGGACTGTTTTCAGTCCCAGACCAGACCAGACTTAAACAGACCAGACCAGACCAGACTTAAACAGACCAGACCAGACCAGACTTAAACAGACCAGACCAGACCAGACCAGACTTCCGTAGTTATAAAATACACAGAGACCAGACGTTTACCAGACCAGACCAGACCAGACCAGACTTAAACAGACCAGACCAGACCAGACCAGACCAGCAAATTTCAGTCTAAAACAAAACATCCTATATACAAATATACAATGACATTTTGTGGGTGGTAACATGGGGAAAAGCATTTTTGATCGAGTTATAATTTTTTAATGTATTAAAATAACGAATGAATATACGATTTATACAAATAATGAATTTTTGTGGAATATTAATGAATAAATGATCTAACACTTCCAATAAAATTGTAGCGACATAATTTTATGTCAAGTTCTAAACGATATTACTGATGACCATTTACTAAAGTCAAAGATATTTGATTACTAAGATATGATTATTAGACAATATTTAAAGACAATTGATTCCAAACATCAATCATATATATACGCCACTTTTTTGTAGTTTGATTTTATGACTACGTTGGTACTTAATTCAAATGTATCTAAATGCAGCAGCATTTATCCATACTATTAAGAGACTTCAAAACGTATTTATTTAATCGAACCTTTTAAATTGTCATTAAAAATACATGCAATAAGTCATGAATTCTGAAAGAATTTTCAATATCATGCGAACTTTGAAGATATCCATCACATTTATAAGTGTTTGAAATTCATCTTATAAAGCATAGACTTATATGAAATTTTAGATTTTTACATGATGACATCCATGATTTAGAGAAAATTGAAGATATAGTGTCGTAATTTATACTTCTATATGCCTATTAATAATCACGACTTTAGCTAGTCCTATACAAAGATTCTAATCAATAAATGTATCCATGTACTTTAGGGCCTTTATCTAAAATGTACTGTATTTGACACCATATTTGATGGCAGCGGCAGCATTTCTCAAAAGCAGTAGAGACTAGAGAGCTTTATAAAGAGAAAAAAGTCGAAAGTGTCATACCAATGTGTTTCGTAAATTTATGGAAAAATTACTAGTAGACTTGAAAGAGAAAATAATAATCCCTATCACATTTTTCTCTATTTAAATTTTCTTTTCACTAAAGAAGTGAACGTCAAGGTGCCCTGTAGTGCTTTACACCTTTGATAAAATAATATGACGTACAAGCTAATTCTCTCAGATTTACTTAATTTAAATTTTTATATAGAAAGCATTGTAAAAAGTACCGATAGGTAAAAAATATATTAAAATAATCAAAAATAAAAGTAAAAGTATAAAATTAAAATATAAAATTTATCCGGAAGGTAATTCATGAATTGCCAATTAAAATTTGGGATAATTTGAGTTTGCATCCCATATTATTGTCCAAATTGGACTTTGCGCCTCATTTTTAAAAAACTTTGTTTTTGCACCCCGGTCAACTCCGTATGAAAAGACAAAAATGTCTCTCCATTAACATTTCAATTGGCCTTCAACATATTCCTAATTGAGGGGCATTTTTGTCTTCTCAAGCGGGGTTAGGGTAAAAGAACAAAAAATTTAAAAAACGGATTGCAAATTACAAATTGGACAATAAATTGGGGTGCAAACTCAAATTGTCCCTTAAAATTTTCTTCTATGATCCAATTAATCAGATTTATAAGGGTGTTAAATTGTTAGTCATAATAGACTTTTATTGTGTTATATTATATAGACTCGATCAGTGTACTTATTTCTTTTTAGTTCATACCTAATTCATATATGTTAGAGATAGTTTTTATGATACACTTGTAATTTCTGTGTGTTTGTTTACGTTTTTAGTTAATTTTGGTTGTTTAATATTTCGGAAATTACACACTTTTGGTGTAATAGTTTAGTTTGTTAAATTCTTGTAAATTGTTTAGATTAGGTTTATTCTGAGCTCAAACAGGTCTACTATCACTCAAAGGACAGTTGGTGAACCCCAAAAGTGGAAGGAAGGTGCAAAATCACAAGACAAAAGGGAAGATCCTGATTTTTGGTCTATACCCGGTCGAGTATCATCTATACTCGATCGGGTATCTTGTTGAAATTTCAAATCGGATCGGATCCGAAAACAAAGGAACATGCAGGGAAGACTTTGACCACGATCGAATGTTTACACCCGATCGGGTACACCGACATACTCGATCGGGTATGGTTATAAATTTTACTCTAATTTCGATCGAGTATGGGTCGAATTCCAGTTTCTACACATACTCGATCGAGTAACTGTATATACTCGATCGAGTACCCGAGCTGCACTCCCAAAAAGCCTATAAATACACCTCCTTTCCTTCACAATAGATATCAATTCACATACACTTCTTAGCTCAGTTTAGACAAGTTCTTTCTTTATATTTTTCATCATGTTTAGTCTCCAAATAAGGAGCTAATTAAACTCTTCCATCTTGGTTTTGCTACTTTGAAGCTTAATGATTTGTAAGTTGTGAGTTATTCTCTCTAATCTTCTTTCTTGAATATTAATTACTTCCTATTCATATTCCATATTAATATATTGAAGCATTACTTAAAGGATCAACTAGTTTTGTTTCATATATTAATTATTACTAGAATCAATCGGTTAATACGCTTGTTATTAATTCGGTTCTTTCAATGGTAGTAAATTTGGATTGTTAATGCATGCTTCTCATGGTTAATAAGCCAAGTGGAATTAATTATATTGATTAAACCAATAAACCGCTTGTGTTGAGGTTATCAATCTCAATCGTTTTCATCTTAAGTTTATTGCTACTATCAAGTTAATATACGACGCTTGTTCTATGTTGACTCGATAGTAAGTTTTATTAATGAACGCATCTCGTTATTAATAACTACCCTCGATGAACTGGATATACTCCTCGATTGAGTATTCGAGAGGAAGATAGTTAAAGATATAACCGGGACCGACGCACATCTCATTAAGTGGATAAAAGCAAAGCCAAGTCTTCTTCTCATTAATTAAACCACATAAGTCGTTCATCTTTGTGTTTAAATATAATTTTAAGTTCATCAACCAAACATACCCCCCCCCCCCTTTGTTACTTATTTATTTCTATAAAAAGAAATATATTCTTTTCCCTGTGGATACGAACCTTACTACATTATACTACGTATTAGTGTTGTATTGATTATTATTTTGAGTGCACACATGACAAAGTCCACGTCAAATTTGGCGCCGTTGCCGGGGAGAGGCAATTATTTTTCTTTTTATTTTATTTCAAGAAAAATAAAAAAAAATAAATTAAATAAAAAATATAAAGAGTTCTTATTCTTCTATTTTTGAGCTTGGTGAAGTATATGGTCAGATATCGTTCAATCAACGAAATCACTTATCAAGCAAACCCCGAAATAGAACAAGCCTTTGAGAGGTTGAGAAATTTATTTCCGCACACACCCTCGGAGGAATCCTCAAACGCTAGTGTAACACTTGAGATTTAATATAAACGGATTAATAGTACTACTCATACCAACAGAGGTGCATCTCCTTTTAAGGGAGCTCATCACCCAAGAACTACAAAGTTAAGCGTGCTTGCACGGGAGTAGTCTTGGAATGGGTGACCCCCTGGGAAGTTTCTCAGGGCGCGCATGAGTGAGGACAAAGTGCGCGGTAAAGGCTTGTGGTGGTTTGTGAGGACAGTACTATTGGTCCGGAGTAACTACCTCGGGTCCTGCGGGGCCGGGGTGTTACAGCTAGTTCTAGTTCTACCGAATCTGAAGAGCCATTACACATGGCTAATGAAACAAGAACTTTGAGGGAGCTCACACACTACAAGAAAATAGGAGATTTACCCACACTCGTATGTGTTGGTAAAACAATGGGTATGTGTGGCTATTAATTTTTACCCACACATATTATAAGTGTTACAAAGTGTGGGTATGAAACTGTAGGAAAATGTTATTAGCTACACTTACAATTATGTGTGGGTAATATTATTATTTATAGCTACACATGTATGTGTAGCTAAAACACTTCGAAATGTGTTGTTATTGGTCATTCCAGCATAGAACATGTGACATGGCATATGACGTGGAAGTACACGTGGCTGCTGACGTGGAAAACCGGGTATGACGTGTATGATGACGTGGCAAATTTGATGACTCTTGGCCGCTGCCACGTGGACATAAAGATGTGTGGGTAAAGCTTATGTGTATGTGTGGGTAAAGTGTTTTTTAAAAGTGGGTAATCCGACTTGTTTGTAGATAAAAGTATATTTATTTGTGGGAAAAACTCATACGCAAGTGTAGCTATTAATATTTATGTATTGATAGAACCATTTCATTAAATATTATATTTATTTATTAAATATAATATCAAACAATTACATTTAATAATAATGAACATTGAAATGAATAATAAATAATAACTATAAATATCGTAATTCAAACTAAAATATTCAATTTCAACAAAGTATTAGCTATTCAAATACCGTCAACCAAAACAAAACATTAACTAGCTAGTACCACACGTACTACAAAGTATTAGGTCTAATATGAATTTTGCTTCTACACAATATCATCATATTCAGAAGTTGAGTCCTCATAGCCGTCAACATGCTGGCCTCGACCAATTGAAGATGACCCACGATTAAGCGCACCTGAAGAATGATCTGAAGGAATATGTGACGTGGGAAGCATAATATTCTTCTCAATTAACAATTTTTTCATCATTTCAACAGTGCCTGAAAGCTCTCCAACACGATCCAAGAGTTGAGTATAAGTTGGAATATTTGAATCACCTCTGCTTCTTTTAGACCCAGTGGGAGACCGTCCCCAGCCAAATAGACGAACAGATTCTCGTCCAAGCACCTTCTCTAATATTTGTTTATCAGTTAAATCTTCAGGTGATTTTTCTCTTCTCATTTCCATCATTTCTTCCTGTTAAATTATTAATAAAATAGTAACAATTCATTAATGGAGTAAACTGTGAATATAAGAACATGTATGTATATTATGTCAATAATAATGTAAAAGTAGTTAATTTGAATACGAGATTCCATGGTTAACTCACAGTTTGTGAAGTAGACTTACATATTTAGTTTCGGCTTCTGTAGATACCCAACCACGTTCTGGATGCCAATGACGGAGACGCCACGTCTCAATATGACCAACAGGAGCATTTAACTCAACCCCGCGACTAGTGTGATGACGTGCTGCACTTTTAGAACCATTTCTGGAAGTCCATTTTCTTTTCTTACATGATTCAGCATTCTGCAAAGCCCTTTCCTGGGAAATAAACACAAGTAATTATTATAACATTGACACATAGTCAACAGTAATTGAACATATCATCAAAACATGAATTATAGCTTTACAATGACACCGTAATGAATAAAGAAATTGAATATGACGCATCCTGCTGTTTTTCTCAAAATAAACTATGAAACATGCTATAGAAAAGAAACTCCTATTCACTACGTTTATTACTACAATAAGCTTTAAGACTTAAATATGCTTTCTTAAAAAAAAATTAAAAATTCATTAATTGCAACAAATCTTTAATTATAAAGCATCTTACTAGATATGAAGGGTCGCTCCAACAATTACATAGATATTCCCAATCCGGTTTGCTAACACCCTCATAAGGCTTACTCTTTGCATTCGTTATATCACCTGCACCTCCAACTGTTTTAAAATGGTCACGTAACGTACGTCTATAACCATGCCATGCTCTTTGCATTTGCCTATCAATAGCTTTTCTGACATTTGCATCTTCCAAATCAACATCAAATAATGTCTGCATAACAAAGATAATAATAAGTATAATTAATGATTATATGAAATCCAAAAACATATCAAGTATAGTAATGGCAGTTGATGTCATAATCGCAAGCCAGGGTGATTTCTTTGCAGTCAGGACATACAAGAAACTACTACCATTACATTTATAGGCACGTTATTAGGCCGGTACCAGCTAACCAGCCGAATATAACTGATTTATATAAATGAATGCATGAATGTGATTCATATCTCTGCATATATCTAACTATGACAACAAAAATTTGTTAACTTGAAGCATTTCTATTACACACACCGACACACACATATAGAGTAAATAGAATAAAGCATAATATGAGCCTAAGAGCATAACATACAATCATACAGATTGATAACAACAAACAGATTTACAGAAATAGACTACCAAAAACCCAAAAACAAAGAATAGAACTACTACTATTTCAGACAATTTGATCTAAAGCAATGACTTCTCGTTTTAGTCTCAAACTTTGGTAGCTTACAACCTTACACAACTTACATTTTAAATACAGGTAAGGCTGAGTTAATAGAGTAAATATCAGAAGGAGATTGAAGCAATTGTCCAATACATATTCAAGGTCTATGATACTAAAAATGTTAATTACGATGTATACTTACCTGAAGTTTTTCACGAAGTGGTGCTCTTTCTTGTTCAGGTACATACCTCCATTCTTTGTACTTGAGGTCACAATGTGTACGCAGGATATATCCAACTTCATTATTGAAAACCTCTGTGTTGTCACATATTGCTTGCATAAGGTCAAAATCAAACTTTACCGTCAATCTTGATTTAGCACTCTTCATTGCTTTTCGGGCACCTTTACTGCATGTTATTCCACGCACATTTGTACCTTGTTCTGCGGATTCATTATTGGCAGATGAAACTTGAGTGCCGCTTTGAGTTTGTTCTGTAAATTAAATTACATTAGAATTTAAATTACAAACTCACAATCTAGAGTCTTGTTTTTGTCTGTGAGAAGGTAAAGGTCCATTAACTCCAGTTTCGGTTTTCTAGACCTGACATATTTCAGCTTTAAATTTTCTTTTCATAGCTTCATATATCATTGGGAAAATTAAAAAGTCTTTCTGCTTTAATGTTTGTAACACAACCGGTTTACCAAGAATTATATGCTATCAAGTTACATCACATACAATTGAGTTCGCATAAAAAACTAAATATTTTGACAATTAACATGGACTTAAACTTAGTTAAAGGAAGAAATAAATTAGCAGGCAAAATCCCAGAGAGTGTATTGAAGCTCAGGTTAAGGACAGTGAGACTATAAAAAACTAAATATAGAAATTGTAAATATTAAATAAAACAGCATGGCACATCTCATAACTATTAACAATGAAAATTCAGTGTATCGATCACTATTTTGTTAACTATAAACAAGCTTCATTTGTTGAACATAAGATAACAATATTAGCTCGTATTACCAAAATACAATATGATACACTACAAATTGAAAAAAATGAATTAATGGTGTGGTGACCTATGTGAAAGAAGTGTTCAAATTCTAACTGCCTATAGTTTCAAGTTAAGAGATGGGATGCAAAACATGTTTATTATACGAATTCTACAAAGCACTAGTACGTAGAGGACCCACACATATACATATAATACAAAAGACAAAAAGTAAATGAATAGTTACTAGTTATTGATATAACTAATTTAACCTGCTTGAGTCTCTGCTCTTGCAGATTCATGTGCAATTGTATTACTGCTACGTCCACCTCTTGTTGAAACTTGAGTGTCTCTTAGAGAATGAGCTATTACATTATAAGGAATATTAAAATATTAAAATAAAGTATTGATATAAACATTTTTAGTATAAAATGGTTTCGCAAAATTGACACATCAATAAGGAATAAACTAAGCTCTCTCGGGGACTTTATGAAAGAGTAACCTCGTGTGAATACCATGCAATTGGCACTTTTTTTTATAGGAATTGGAAGCAGTTACTAATTCATGAGCTAGGATAAACAGAATGAAAACTTCAATCTGTCAACTTATCTGTGACAAATGCTCTTAATTAATAGGTGCACTATTAATTAAGAAAGAGCTTCTAGTGGCTTTTGTGAGTATAATTCAAGAAAGAGCATATATAAATGAACATATATTTGAATGTTTTAAACTTTAATAACCTGTTTGAAGCTCCTCTGTAGTAGACTGGTTAGCAATAGGAATCCTACTACGTCCAAGACGTCCACCATGTCCAATTTGTCCGCCATATCCACCTCTTGTTGAAACACGAGTGTCTCTTACAGATTGAGCTATAATTTAATTACATTAGAAACCATTTTTCAATATGAAAAATAATAGTAGAATTTGTATTAGCAGTTTTTGGTTTACTCATTTAGCTAGTTTATGTTTTAGTTAATATTTCCTAAACGAAAACCTATTTATTGAACTTCTTGTAGAAAAAACTGGTTCAAAAGAAACTCAGAGGACTAGGGGTGAGATGAGATGCAACTAGAAACGTCTTCATGTGCAAGAGAAGTAGCATGAGTCAAGAATTACTTTGAGGCTGCTACAGTAATATTGCTATTCTAAATAATGCAACCAAAAGAAATCATCTTTTTAATTCATCCAAGAGAGTAAACATACAGTTGATGGACATTGATATAACTATACAGAGAGTAAACTGAATAAACATACATTTAATTCATCTAAATAATGCAACCAAAAGAAATCATCTTTTTAATCCTATTGGATTCCTCTGACACCCACCTCTTGTTGAAACTTGAGTGTCTCTTAGGGAATGAACGGTATATTTTTAAATTAACTCATGAGAGATAAATAACAATTTTTATTAATTAATAGAAACACTGGTTACTTAACCTGTTTGAAGCTCTTCAGTAGTATGTTGATCTTCAATAGAAATCCTACTACGTCCAACTTGTGCACCATATCTACCTCTTTTAGAACTAGCAATGGGAACCCTGCACCAAAGATTCAACAAAGAACTAAAATCATATATGCCAAAGTGAAACTATGATATATACTTCTGAATAAGTTCAAACAAAAATAACCTAAGACTAAATTTATGTCATGCCATGGTGTCATCGTCACTGATATTTAGTTCTAGTGCATCAGAATCTTTGTCACTCTCAGACTCTAACATCATTTCATTGTAAAAGAAAAGCTCTCCATCGTCCAGATCATAATCTTCATCTTCTAAAGAATCCTCATTTTGGATATGCATTGACGTTTGATCGCGCAATTGTTTGACAACCTCATTGGATAATGCCATTGGTTCCACATCTTGTCGAACTAAAAGAGGTGCGTCATCAATTTCTTCTATTGGATGAAAAGATGGTAACTCACTAGCATCTTCCTCCTGAAAGATGTCATCGCTAACATTCACATCAGCATCATGCTCTGGTATATCATATATGCAACGATGATTTACTTTTTGTACAACCATCCAACTCTTGCCTAAAGCTCTATCGTTTAAATAAAAGACTTGTTGAGCTTGTGTGGCCAAAATAAATGGATCTTCGGTGTACCACTGGGATGATGTGTCAACAGATGTCAGGTTATAATTAACCACCATTGTTCTTCCCTTTGGATCAGTATTATACCACTTGCAACGGAACATGAAAACTTTCCTCCTAAGGATGAAATCAAGTTCTAAAATTTCAAGTAATACACCGTAATAAATGGTATCACCATTATCATCTCCGGTGCAAACTCCGCTACATTGTGTCTTGAACTTGTCATCACGTTCTTTGCATCGAAACCTAACACCATTGACTATACAACTTTGCCAAATTGTGTAACGATCATCCGGTAATTGCGATAAAGAATACAGATCATCACTAGCTTTCGGATCACCATTTACTCTAAGTGTAGCCATCTGAAAACCCAATATTAAAATTTTAAATAATTGTTCAAATTAGAAAAAGATGATTTATACTTTATATAATAAATAGGGTTTACCTTTTTCTTGAACCAAGCAGGAAATTCACGTTTTTGAATATTGTCCCATTCTTGTGCACGTGAGCTTGTCAAGCAAATAAGTTCCTTATGCTCTCTAAAGTGAAGAACAAGTTAATTGTAATTTCAAATAAATTAAAAATAAGTAGAAATGAAATTATAATGAAAAACTCACTTTATGTAATCGTCAAGCTCAATTCCACAATTGTTAAGAAGGTACCATTGCACCACATTCCCATCTAATCCAAGATTTCCAAATTTAGGAGCCCCAAGGGTTCGTATCTTGTGGTTAAACACGTCCATCTTATAGTCTTCACTAGAGAGGTCCCAATTGCGCTCTGGACGTGTAAATCTTGTTTCAATATTAGTTAAATATCGAGATAAGAATGTAATAGCCTCATCGACCACGTAAGCTTCAGCAATAGATCCATCGGGCCGAGCATAGTTACGCACATATCCCTTATAAGTACCCATGCGACGTTCAATTCCAAACATCCATCTAGGAGGAGCTGGACCACCCAATAATGCTTGTTCTGGTAAATGCACGCACAGGTGAACCATGATCGTAAAAAAGGACATTGGAAAAATTTGTTCAAGTTTACACAATATGATCACAATCCCAGTTTTCATGTCCTCAAGTTCGCTAACATATAAGGTCTTTGCGCATAACTTCTGAAAGAATTGGCAGAACTCTATAAGTGTGGTACGTATTTTCCTATCAAAGAATGCAAGAATTGCCACCGGCAATATCTTTTGAAGCAATACATGACAATCATGGGTTTTCATTCCTCCAAGTGTATTTGCATCTGTGGCACATCGACTAATATTGGAAGCGTAACCATCTGGAAGGCGAATAGACTTGATAAAGTTGCAAAACTCCTTACAATCATCTTTAGTCAAGGTATATTTAGCATGGGGTTTTTCAAATTTTCCATTTCGTTCCCTCAACCACAACTCCTTGCGAATGTTGTGATCTTCCAAGTCAAGACGTGCGTTCACAGTATCCTTTGACTTTAGAGGATCATTCAACAAGGTCCCAACAATATTATCGCATACATTCTTTTCTATATGCATTACATCAAGATTGTGGCGCATCAACAATTTAGACCAATAAGGGAGTTCAAACAATATGCTCTTTTTGGCCCAATTTAATTCATTGGTTCCACGTTTGCGTTTCTTATCTTTATTGTTCGGTGCTTTTCCTGGTGTTGCATTATGAACCTCTTTTAGCTGTAGTAAAATGTCATCCCCAGAAAATTCTCGAGGCGCTCCTCTTCTCTCTGGCTTGCCATCAAATCCCCTATTCTTTCTCCAGCTATGTGTATCACTTAAAAAACATCGATGCCCTGTATAGCATTGTTTTCCTCGAATTCGTTTCCACCTGGTGTCCTCGAGGCATACAGGACAGGCCATTCTTCCCATAGTGCTCCATCCAGACAAGTAAGCATAAGCAGGGAAGTCACTTACAGTCCATAGAACTGCTGCCCGAAGATTAAAATATGATTTAGAATACTCATCATATGCCTCAATCCCATCTCTCCATAAAATTTTAAGTTCATCTACAAGAGGCCTAAGAAACACATCAAAATCCTTACCAGGCGACTTCGGGCCAGGAATTAATAATGCTAAAAGATAGTTACTTTTATGCATCATACTCCAAGGCGGCATATTATAAGGCATCAAAATTACCGGCCACAAACTATGTGTTGTTGACATATTACTAAATGGGTTAAACCCATCAGAGGCCAACCCCATTCTAACATGTCTCGAGTCTGCAACAAAGTCTGGATATAACTCATCAAAGTGCTTCCAAGCCTTCCCATCAGCTGGATGACGCAGAACCCCTGGCTCTTCCTTACGCACTTCTTTATGCCAACGCATGTCTCTTGCTGTGTGACGTGAAGCATACAGACGTTTAAGTCGAGGTCCCACTGGGAAGTACCGTAGCCTCTTATGTGGAATCTTATTACGAACATATCGATCACATTTACATATAGGACATGTGACATCATTCTTATGATCACCATAGAACAACACACAATCGTATTTGCAAACATCAATAAGTTCGTAACCTAAACCAACGTCACAAAGTAGCTTCCTAGTTTCATAATAGCTTTGTGGACAATTATTGCTTTGTGGTAGCACTTCATGTAGTAGCTTCAGCAACATTTCAAAGGAACTATCACTCCACTTATTCATTACTTTTATATTCATCAATTTTACCACGAATGTCAATGCAGAAGATTTATCACATCCTACAAATAATGGGGTATCCAGAGCTTCATATAATTTCTCATAATGAGAATTTTCTGCAGTGGGTTGCTGATTTGTAAGAAATTCAGTGGTATCCCCAATATTAAAATATTGATTACCAAATGCATCATGTAGTCCCGCTCTCAACCCATCAAATTCATCATTTTCAAATTCTTCATTACCCACACCTTCATCATCAGACTCTTCTTCACCGTGATACACCCACCGTACATATGACGTATCAATTCCTTTAGATATCAAATGCGATCTAATGACATTAATAGAATAACTCCTTGAATTAAGGCAATTACGGCAAGGACACGTTGTCAATCCATTACGATCTAAACTCTGTTTAGCAACATTTATGAATTCTTTGATGCCAGCTATATATGCCGGAGCGATCCGATTTGAAGACTTCACCCATTCACGGTTCATATTATGAGTATACTATTATTGATATCAAAAACATGGAAACAAAAACATATACAAACACGTGTTTAGAGAAACATTTTGGTTGTGTTAGATGTTGACAATTTATATATGTATTGAATTTAAAATGTGAAATTAGTAAAACATACATGTTGAACTTTGGAATGAAGGGAGCTCTGATTCGTTTGTTTCTCGAACCTGCAATACATATAAAGAAAATAGTGTAGAAGCAACTAATACTGAAGAAACTATATTTAAAGTCTCAAAGTCATCTACTTAATAACATGACTAAATAATTAAATTTAGTTTTAAGTACTTATTCTATTCTATGTAGTGAGTAGACCATATATACTTATACACACACACACACATTGAAGAAGTTAAATTTAAAGTGTGAAAGTCATCTATTTAATCACATGACTAAAAATAATGTTTAGTGTATGAAAGAGATAACAGTAATTCAAGGAAAATGAAAAGAGATGTACACTCTATGGTGAACTCATTCAATGCATTACTAGTGTGTATCAATATACTGGTGGAGGGGCTGCAATGATAACCTGTGGTGTGGTT